ATTACTCCTTCTGTATCTTGCTCATCAAGATCATCAAAAGTGATACTTTCATCTTCTAAGGTTTGTCGCACTCGCTTCCCGTGCGTGATTGTTACTTTGGAAACTTTATTTGAAGCCGTATATGTTACTCCATAAATATCCTCTCCCCCACTTATAACATTCACGGTTCTCTTGGGTGATGGGGGCTTTGGTGGTTCTTGCCTATTTTTCATGTGGGCTTGCTTACCTTTCTCACTAAATAACTCAGTGAGATACCCTTGTTTCAATAGATGGTCCACTTCACTTTGCAAGAATCTACATTCTGAAGTCTTATGCCCGTGATCATTGTGAAATTCGCACCAATGATCTGGATTGCGCTTATTTGGATTTGACCGCATCTCTTTTGGCCACCGTACCTTATCTCCCATGCTCCTCAAAACAGCTACGAGCTTGGAGCTAGTGACGTTGAAATTATATCCACCAAATCTTGCCTTCAAACTTCCATCATCATCTCGTGACCCGCGTGTGTTTCGATCATTCCCAAACCTTGATGAGGAGCCTGATTCCCTGTTCCTAGGTCTGTGATCGTACCTTTGATTATCTTGTCTTGACCGTGAGTCCTTTCCCGCAGGTCCCATGTATGGCTCGTACCTGTTTTTACCGGATCTTTTTTCATTTTCAATACGCCTTGAGCTTACCTTTTCTTCTGTTTTATGTCGTAAAATAATGTCTTCTTCAATCCTCATCTTTGTGCTGTATCTGTTGTAGACATCACTCCACGTTGTTGCTGGGAATTCTCGAAGGCTTTCTTTGAGTCGCCTCGTGGCTTCTGAACTCTTCTCATTTAAATTACTAGCAAAGGCTATGGCTGCCCAATTGTCAGGTACTCGTGGCAGCGTCATTCTTTCCCGTTGAAATCTATCTACGAACTCTCTAAGCAACTCTGAGTCTCCTTGCTTGATTTTGAAGATATCTTCCATTCGCTTTTCAACTTTTTGAGCTCCCGAGTGTGCTTTGATAAATAAATCTGCAAGCTCAGCAAACGAATTTATAGAATTTTCAGGTAAAAGAGAATACCATGTTAGGGCTCCTTTAGTGAGTGTTTCACCGAATTTTTTGACCAAGACCGACTCGATTTCTTGCTTAGTCAAATCATTGCCCTTGACACCTGTTGTGAATGCAGTAACGTGATCTCGTGGGTCTGATGTACCATCATACTTTGGAATATCAGGCATCTTAAACTTCTTTGGAATTGGAAGGGGAGCAGCGCTTGGCTTCCATGGTTGTTGGGAATATTTATCTATATCGATACCCTTGATCACGGGCGGTACTCCAGGTATTTGTTCTATGCGTTCATTTTGCTCCTTGAGCTGTTTCTGCAAGGTTAGTACTAGACTTTGTAAATCAGAATTAACTGGATTACCTGGGTCTCTCTCTTGTGTTTCACTTAGAGTTCCACCGCTGCCAGAATTAATCAACCCTGAACGAGGATTCTCCAAAGTGTTGTTGTTTGGAGCAGACGCGGGTGGAACAGCAGGCAATTGGCGAACAAAAGCTTGGAGAGCGTTATTGACTTGAGAGGCAATAAGTTTTTGCAGAGCCTCATTCATGGTTTCAACGTTTTCGAATTGAGCCTGTCCATCTGTATAAGATCCATCAGGAGTGCCTTCACGAGATCGTTGTGGGGAACCTCGTGGAGAACCTTGTGGAGAGCCTTGTGGGGAATCTCCCTGAAGTTGTTGGACTGTCTGAATTTCTGGGTTTCCTTGAATGTTGTCATTGTTGTTCGACATGATTGATGCAATCAAGAAAATTAGATTGAGATATGCTTGATTATCAGATTCCCGGTAACGGAACCAATTTGTTTAACCAAAAAATAGAATCGGTTAAAACTAGAAATTAAGAGAAAAAATCGGGTTACTGATAATCAGGAGACAAAATGAATAAGAAATTTTTGAGAATAAGAAAGCAGTAAATAAGTTTGTATTTCAATGTAATCTCAATGATATTTCGTGTCCTTACAAATGATGAGATCTCCTCCTTTTATAATTGATTTTTCTAGAAAAAGGTATAATGTCTCCGTATTAAAGAGGCAATTATGAGCATTAAATGACATTAAATGAAACATTACACAATCATTCCTATTCAATGCTGATTCGCTAACATATTTGACATTTAATACTGAATTTAGACTCCTTTATGCTATCAGATTCATATCTTCAATTCCTTCTGACCTCCTGGCTTTAATTAAGTTAAATAGATACGAGACTCGTATCATTTGAATAGCATCTCGTGCCTATTTAACTCTCTTCTTTTCGTATCTGATATCGCCTGTGCCCCTCAATTGATCATCATGTTTTGACCATTTGACCAGTCCACGTGTCATGCCACGTCACCTTCAATATAAATTCAGTTTTTTCCCAATACAATACTAATAATTTTGTACATGCAATTTAGGCTAATAACATTTAGCCAGGGATCTATCAGTCGCAATTTTCTCACAAAAAATGATCGCTACAATTACTTCCTCACTAAATTTAGAGAGGGACATCAGCTAGTCTTTGCACATTTCAATTGTTCCTACTTTATATGCGTGTTTAACTTCATGAAGTCGCAATGCAGTCCACGCCTTTCATCCATTTTAGGACTGAATATATAACAGGATATATATAGAGAGAGAGAGAGAATGCCACGGAAGAAACAGATATCTTATTGGTTAGGATACAGAGTAATACTTCTACCTGATTGATTAATATTATGAAGTTGGAAGTGCTGAAATGCTACAAGCTGTGAAGTTTGGTAAGGCTTTAATTTGATCATTACAAGCAGTAGTTCTCTCATCACTTGGACTATTATTTGAAAAAAGATAGAACAAAATATGAAGTCATCCTCTCTTTATTCCTTCCACACCATCATCATCAATGACCTCAATCTCAGTTGATCCTGCAAATGGATGATAATAATATAACCAGTCAGAACTCAAAAGTGAATGTAGTTAAAGAATCACATGAAAGGTGAAAATTATCTTGAAAAGCAGAAAATAAATCTTACAGGTCACAGTTGACGGTCTTAGAAACAGTAATGTCCAATGTTACACCACACTTGGTAGGGAGAGCCTGGGCAGCGTCTTCCTTCAAATTTGCATACCTGTTGGCAGCAGCCTTGACACAGTTACATGCAGCCCTCTTGTCAGCAGTGTTTTGAACCATACCTTCTAACGCCTTCACACTATTACAGCAAGCTGCATTTGGATCACCACCCTGAGTAAGGTAAGGGATACAAGGTGCTAAAGAAGCATCCACTTGACCACAAGTAAGAGCCTGCCCTGGCTCAACCATGAACTGAATCATGGCCAATACTGCAATTGCTGAAATAATGATTCCCTTCATCTTTCTTGTCTGTGGAAGATATATTGAGTTACAAAATTCAAGTTGTATGTTTTTCTAAACTCTCTGAATTGGTATGATGTTTGAAGCAGGCTGTGGTAGGCATATATATATAGGACTCTCCTGAGATGAGTGCAAACAAATAAGTAAACAGAATGTTGTTTGGGAATAGGTCAGAGCTGTCACACTAATTTGGCTTTTTCTTGATCTTGGTATGTCATTCATAGGGAAACAATTTTCCACAGTTTCTTTCTCCTTATAGTTTTTTCGTAACATATATAGATCGATATATCTTCTCTTTATTGGTCAATTCTGACTCTAGCCTGATTATGTATTTGAGATAGCTGGGTCGATTGAGACTAGTTTTCCTGGAGTAGATACTCATATCATCACTGAGCTGGAGCAGAAGTCATCTTAAAGTTAATGGTTTAAAATATTCTTCAGAATTTGGTTTTGATTAGATTCAATGGAATTTCATTAGGCATAATAAATAAAATTGAGATAGTTTTGTCAATGATTATGTATATTTATTTTCCAGTAACTAGCCAAAGACTATGAAACCTGGTCCGAATTGACAACTTAATTGTTGTGAGAGCTTCGACAAGGAAAAGAAATGGCAATAGGTAGATTAATAGCCTAGGACCTTAGTAAAATAGCTTTGATTCCTTAACTAATTAAAGCAGGAGAAGGGTAATCTGTGTAATCTTTTTGGGATCTCTAAATATACATAATGAGTCAATGACCTAACTGTAAAAACTTAACCGCACCCCTTAAGTATACACTATTCTAACTTGCTATATACCTTTGTACACTGATTGGTTCTAACACAACCAGTTTCAAGGAGTGCAGTCTAAAATGAACACTTAAATTATCAGACCTTACATAAAAAAAATTAATGGGTATGGCTGGTTCAGCATTTCTATCCTGGAAAAAATGTCTCTTTGTTTAAGGCCGCTCTGTAAATAATGATCTCACCTGATAAAGCTAACATTAATTTTTTATATACTTTGGAATTACTTTTGTGTTTCAGGTCATGTAATATAAGAATTGATGAGATGAAACGAAATCATCTCTTTTTATCTCTGTCCTGATTTATACATCTTGTTATATATGCACATTTCAACAGTCTCTCTTACATTTTATTGTTATAGCCGCCCCCGACTTGCTTGGGATTGAGGAGTTGTAGTAGCTGTTGCTGTTAATCTTTCTTTGAAGGAATCTCTTAGCTGATAGGGCACCTATTATTGACCAATTTCATCAGTCCAAAAATTGGTACGAGCAAACGAAAGAGAGATTTATTCACTAAGTTCAGTTCGTGAACTCGATATATTAGTGGAACAAGCAGAGAATTGACAGGTTCAGTTTTGATAAACGTTTTTCAGAACTCCAAACACAATTTTAGTCTTTCAGTGTACCACCAGAGTAGAAGAAATTCACATATTGCAGAAGTAGTTCTTTGCACTTTGTATTGCCTAAAAGTAAAGAGTTTTGATTCACCAAGAAATCAACAGAAGTGATGGAACCACCAACAAGTTGATAAATGAAGGGAACAGTAACAGTTTCAACGGCTTGCACTAAACAGTGTGTGGCAGACGTGCATTAAAAAAAGCAAAAGGAGCCAAAATAGAATAACAGATAATACTCAAGCAAGAAACCACTCAAAACAGTGAAGCAATCATAACTACTAGTCTACTACTATAAATACACCCTCTGTACTTAGCTTCTAATATCCCCAAAAAAAAGGAGCTAAAGAAGCGAACAAGCCTAACCTTGAAATATTCCACACACAAGAAAGATGAAGGGTATCATCATTTCAGTGATTGCAGTGTTGGTCATGATTCAGCTCATGGTTGAGCCAGGACAGGCTCTTACCTGTGGTCAAGTGGATGCTTCTTTAGCACCTTGTATCCCTTACCTTACTCAGGGTGGCGAACCTGGAACTGCGTGTTGTAACGGAGTGAAAGCCTTGAAAGTTATGGCTCAATCTATAGTTGACAGAAGGACAGCCTGCAATTGTGTCAAGGCTGCTGCCAACCGATATGCAAATCTGAAGGATGATGCTGCTCAGGCTCTCCCTAGCAAATGTGGTGTTACAATGGATATTCCCGTCTCTCGTACCATCAACTGTGACATGTAAGATTATCATCATATAATTATACATCTCAATTAGAGTTATTGCACATTCTGATTTGTTTTTTTTTTTTTTTTTTGCAGAATCAACTGAAATGATTCAATGCAGCCAGAAATGTGCCAGGCTGATCATGCTAGAAATACATGGAACCAAGTTTTACGTTATCTACTTAATTTGATGTATAAGATGCTTTGAGATATTATAATAATACAATACAATACTCTCTTTTATCCTTCTCTCTGGACAATTATGCCAATGTGCATTTCATATTGCAGAGTCAATAAAAGCATATATAACTGTATGAGCTACATATGTTACTTTGGAAAGACAAAAAGTGTTCTGCAATATCGACAGGCATCTAGTTCAATGCCTTATGTTTAACTTCTATATGCTTACAAGAGGTTGTTTCCACGGCTCGAACCCGTGACCTCCTGGTCACATGGCAGCAACTTTACCAGTTACGTCAAGGCTCCCCTTCAAAGAAATGGAAATTCCAAACTAATATAAAATTCTTCCTTAATCACAAAAACATCACCGAGCTAACAGCTAACATCAGATGCAACTGTTTTTGTCGTCCACTTATTTTCTCATAAACATCAACTTAAAGTATAGGATGAAAAGGACAGAATGAGGTATCAGTCATAAATGATCTCAGAACAATTTCTTTCTAAAATCGCACTATTTCACGAATTAATAATTTATTATATAAACATTACTAATTTTTTAGTTCTCATCACTATTTTGTAATGCTTACTGGCTCTAACCATAAGGAATTCCAGTTTCAACCTAATAATAAACTAAACAAAGTCAAATGCTAAGTTTCCTAAATAATTTTATTATTTCAATATCAAACTATCTAATCCACAAAGGTTAAAATGATTTCCTCCTCAAAACTATATTTATTTAAAAGAATTTGATAAGACACCTGAAAGTAAACCTTGAACCTGAAAGTAATCTATGCAAAAAGTAGTTTTTTTTACTAAGCGAATTCAGTTGAACTCTCTTTGCACAACGTGGATCCATCGAAGTTAACCTTTTTCCTATATAATCTAATTCCAATTATCCAGATGAATATCTGACACGCACATTTATAATGGAAATGATAAAGACTAAGTTATTCTAGTTATAAAGACTAGTTTTGTAAAGGAGCTCAAAACTATTACCAAAATGTGAGAATCTCAGGGGGAAAAAAAAAGAATAACAATAAGAAAGGGTAAGAGGAGCTCTAACAGCACCTCCTTGTACTACTCAGACATTAGAGAATGTTACACCTATCCTCTCGGTTGTTGTAATAGTTTCCAAAGGGGTTTAAAAGGACTTGGGATGCTTCTCCCTATTGCCTTACAGCTTTGGATGGTTGTTATGTATCGTTTCATAATGTATTGTATCGTATCGTATCGTTTTGATGTATACAATTTTTTGGATAAATTGTATTGTTTGCCGTCGTTTCATGATGTCATGCACCAACAACATGAATAATAAACTTGCAATATTATTATGAAAAAATAAGCTACGACGTAGAATTATTATATAAAATGGTAGGGTAAAAGATAAAAAATAACTATTAAATAATAAAGAAAGACAAGATGAGAGGAAAAAATAAGGTAACAACGCTACCACAACAAATCGGTCGTTCAGTAAGATTATAATAATCAGTAATCACTATTACATTAGACCATATTCAGGCCATGTTACTTTCAACTGCTGTACAGAGTTAGGACAACATCCTTATGTCTAGCTGTTGAGAGTGGCAATTTGAAATAGGGATCTTAACTATTGTCAAATTTTGGAGGACAGAGGCATCTTATTAATATCAACCTAACATTTTTTTTTATTAAGGAAATGCCTGGAAGTGTAATTTTCTGCAATCAATGAGGATAAGATTCTTCAGTTCATATACATGCCCAGAACACAGCACAACTGCAGGAAACATCACAGCTGCAAGGGAAACTGTTTTGATCCCATCACTTTCTTCTTCTAATTGTTTATCAATGACATAAGTAAGGGAAAAGGCCAAAATCGTGTAACAAATTTTACATAAGCCATTAACTGACCTTTCTTTTATTAGCCATCTTGAGAATACTATATATATCCCCTTCTATGCCTTCAACTATACCAGTCCACAGGGAGAACCAAGAAAAGAAAACTAGTAATCCAAAAACTTCAAGTTTCCAACAGAAAGCGAATATGAAGGGAATCATCATTTCAGCAATTGCAGTGTTGGCCATGATTCAGTTCATGGTTGAGCCAGGGCAGGCTCTTACTTGTGGTCAAGTGGATGCTTCTTTAGCACCTTGTATTCCCTACCTTACTCAGGGTGGTGATCCAAATGCAGCTTGCTGTAGTGGTGTGAAAGCGTTAGAAGGTATGGCTCAAAACACTGCTGACAAGAGGGCTGCATGTAATTGTGTCAAGGCTGCAGCCAACCGGTATGCAAACTTGAAGGAAGACGCTGCCCAGGCTCTCCCTACCAAGTGTGGTGTAACATTGGACATAACTGTTTCTAAGAGCGTCAACTGTGACCTGTAAGATTTATTTTCTGCTTTTCAAGATAATTTTCAGTTTTAATGTCATTCTTCAACTACATTCACTTTTGAGTCCTGACTGGTTATATTATTATCAACCATTTGCAGGATCAACTGAAATTGAGGTCATTGATGATGAAGGTGTGGAAGGAATAAAAAGAGGAAGACTCACCGACTTCATATTTTGTTCTATTTTTTTTTTCAAATAATAGTCTTAAGTGATGAGAGAAATACTGCTTGTAATGATCAAAGCTTTACCGAGCATAAAGTGTTTCTGCAATTTCCCAAGATTATTGAACTGTGACAAGGACAATTTGATAGTTTATTTTGGCTTCATCATCTTTCAAAAGATTGATCATTTACTCTATCTATGTCCCTCGTCCTATGAAGTATTCATCCCTAAAAGGGAAGCACTAACCTGGAATCTTCTATTAAATTTAGTAAAATTGGAACATGATCTGTATGAATCTGGTACATGCAATCAAATAGCATAAAATTGTTCAAGCCAGAATTGGATGTATTCCTCCTAGTTAAGCTAGTATCATTCAGGCTCCATTTGCAGAAATTTGATAGTCCATTTATTTTGGTTAGAAGAGAGAAAAAGAAAAAACTCCTGATCAGTTGCAATTCAATTTATGGAATATAACCTTAACTTTTAGCAACTTCCTTCCTATATAACTTTGGTGCTACATATCATCAAGAGTACAATGCCAGGAAATATCTGTCAAAGTGGATCTAGAGAACTTGGCAAAAAGACTAAGCTCACACTCCATATTCTTATCAAGATAACTCCTATTTATTCCTCCTATTCTAACTTGTATTTTGCTTCCAAAGCTGAACTGTCAGGATCCTATGGACTGGACCATTCATTTTCTTGGATCGCCATGATTCATGAGCTTCTATAATAGGCCTGGTTCCAAATTCCGTTTTCCTTTACATCATCCATCTTTTCTGAGAAAACTAACACTAACAGTAGGAAAGCAGTAGGGATGCAACATTATATCCTTCATAAATTACTAATTACCTCTCTGTTCCCCTTCCCTTTCCCAGGGATTTGCATGCTGCAGTGACCAGTATTAATGATGAAATGAATTCTTGTGAGAACATCAATTGTACCTCTTTTTAGAATTCTTGGGGATAAGTATAAAGGAATAGAAAATTCATCACCGGTAAAGGATGAAAAAGAAACATCATTTCAAGTCGATTTTTAAGGTTTCTTAGTAGTACGATACATAACAATCACCTAGTTAAATAAACTGATATATCATCAGATGATTGGATTAAATTATCCCCCATGAACCTCCCCTAGAAAAATAAGTGATCCAAGAACTCAAAAACATTACTGCAGATTACCAGCTATGTTGCGCGGACTCTCCAAAATGTAGCCGCACCCGTGTCGGATCCTTAAAAATGCACTACTCTTGGAGGATCCGACACGTATCCTGCCACATTTTTCGGAGAGTCCGAGCAACATAGATTACCAGTATATGTCAGCAGTAGATTCTATTATTTAACTTCTATTAGATTTTGATGACATAAAATGTATTAAGATGACATTGACATCATATACTTAATTACTAGGTATTTTTACGAGTTTCTCTTCAGGTTTAATAGTAATAATGGATATTTATTTCGGAAAATCTGAATTTTGCTAGTGATGCCAAAGAAATTGTAGTCAAGTCCTTATGCCGGTGTGCATTATCATCAAGATCTCTTTTTTTTTCCATCATCCTAGAGTGATTATCAAATTCTTGAATATTTCTCTCTTACAGATATCTTCATGTAATTCACACCTAGCAACATAAAGCAGAGATTTTAGCACCCATGGCAGAATTTACTCATTTGGTCAGACTTTATCCAAGTCGACCAACTCCTGAGGGTAAAGAAAATATTGACTGAACTTGCATGCATAAGTATGTTGAAAGTTTGAATAAACATGTGTTGACAAAAGAAGATAGGAAAAAAACTATCCACCCTGGGACCTATAGTCAGATAACGGCAAACTTGCACTGTTTGTTCTAAACTAAGTAAACAATGTAGTACTAGTCAAAACACAAATAGCACCAGATAAGTTTTCAAGAATATCCATTTATACAGTCCTCTTTCTCAATCTGTTTGTACAACTATGTTGAAGGGACTGGTTTTGCATTAAGTAGGAAAAGAAACAGTATCATTCACACAGAGAAATGACAATTATCCATGTTCATTTTTTCAGTGGCACTGAAACTACATCTCTGTTACATCAGTTCTCATCACTCCCAAAAATTCCTACTTGAGTGACTGAGTGGTTCTAAGCTGTATGGCAGATTTGTTTAAAAAGGACTAATTTTTTTAGTTCTTTTTCCTTTTGTTTAAAGAGGACTAATAGTCTTTTGATTCACCCGGGGTGTGGGGAGGGGGTAATAGTTCCCATGCCGACCCCTTGAATCAGAACAATCACTGATCAACTAAGTCGTTTTTATCATTAGATGTCTTAATTCTGCTCCTATGTTCATTATCAAAAATTCTGCTCCAATGTTGTCGCTGCTATATATTCTACTCATGCATCAAAGTGTGATCATCTGCTTGGGAAAAACATTTATATTCTTTTACAAATCATTTTGGAAGCTTTCTTGTTTCTTTACAAATGATATGCTAAGAAAACCAGCCAAGTTATGCACAAAATTATTGAAGCTCGAGGACATATTCCACCGAATACGATGGTTTTCTTTAAAGTCTGATCCAAGCTAACTAATTTAAGGCTCAAATGCATTAAATGAATTTGAGTTCATCTAATCCAATTCAAAGACTTAGTTTGTATATAAAAGCTCACAAGGAAATGATGATCAAAATAGCTACTTGATGCAGTCAGTAAAAAAATAAGGAATAAATTGATACATCAATTTGTAAGTTATATATTAAAAAACATGCATGGTTTACCTTTTTTATTTTTAATACTGGCACACAAAACAGAGATGTGTGATGTGTATTTCGCAGATGACCATTTAAGTCTGGAAAGAAAGAAAGTGGTTTCTGATGCAAAAGAGATAAGGTTTGTTGAATTCTTTTATCTCTAAGCACCACCAGTAGAGAAAGATGAAGCATCATCAATACCAGCAAATAACCGTCATAACACGTAAGACTATTTGTTCCTTTCTTCTGAACAAATCAGGAAATGACATAACAAGGAAACAAAAATCCGAAAAGAGATAACTGATATTACCACAGCAAAGAACAACTTACTTTTCTTAGAACCTATCATATTCCTATATATACCCTCCTAAGACACTGCTAGTCATCAACAAGGCCAATCAAGAATACAGAGAAAAACACCTGCCTTAAAACTATCCTTTTTCTTACACAAAAACTGAAAAGATGAAGGGAATCATCATTGCCATTGCAGTGCTGGCCATGATTCAGGTCATGTTTGAGCCAGGACAAGCTCTTACCTGTGGTCAAGTGGACGCTTCTTTAGCACCATGTATCCCTTACCTCACTCAGGGTGGTGATCCAAGTTCAGCTTGCTGCAGTGGGGTGAAAAGCCTAAACGAATTGGCTCAAACCACAGCTGACAAAAGGACAGCTTGCAATTGTGTCAAGGCTGCTGCTAATAGGTACGCGAACCTCAAAGACGATGCAGCTCAAGCTCTTCCCACCAAGTGTGGTGTCACTATGGATACCCCTGTCTCCAGAACTGTTAACTGTGATATGTAAGTTACTCTTCTTATGCATTTAGATTTTAGATAAAAGTTCAATTCACTATTAAAAAATTTCTTCTCTGACTTAAAATCTTTTTCTGCTTTTCCTTTTCCTTTTCCTTTCTATGGACAGCATCAATTAAAAGACAGGAGGAAAACAAAGAGCATCTGCAAGAAAATAAAAAAGGATGACTTCTCAGTGAATCCTTATATTTCTTTTTGCCTATATTGTATTTCTTCTCTTGTAGCGTAAAATAATGGTTCTGGACTCAGTGACATTGGAGAACCATTTTTCAGTACTCTAAGCTTTATCAAGTTATTCAAGCTTTCTGATGCCAACACCGAGTATAGTAAGAGCAATTTAATTTTCACGCTTTTTATGCTTCTTTTTCGACTAGTCATCACTTAAAAGCGGCAAAAATGGAAAACCAATGACCCGTATAAACGTTAAGACGCAAGAATGCACATCTTGATATACACCAAAAAGAAAGAAAAATAACTAAAAGAAAACAAGAAAAGAAGTCCCCAGCAAACTAACGGAGACCAGAGTTCAACTTGTGATGAACAACCGCTAATTATTTCCTCATGGCCAATTAATGAAATCATTAGTAGAATCGCAAGAGGTCAGAAATAATCTTAACCGTTATTCTGTAGCAGATAATTTATCCCCAAAGGAGTACAATGAACAAATTGAACAAGAACTGGTTGAGCAAGAAACAAAGGAAAAATCACGACTTGATGATCAATAACTTCTATTATCAGAAAGGCCCCACTTTTTGTGAGTCGTTATCACACATTTCTATATTTTGCAAAATTAATATGTTTGAAATAACCAACTGCAAGACGATAAATAAGTGAGGAAGATTACCAGGCACCGAAGCACTTGTCGCCATTGCTGAGGTAACTTCGCGACCTTGGTAAAGAGCCTGTTTGGATTGGCTTAAAAAAAATGTGCTTAAAAGCACTTTTTAAGTGCTGGAACTTGTTTTATAAATAAGCTGTTTGGATAAAAGTGCTGAAACTGAAAAAAAGTTATTAAAGTGTTTGGTAAACAAGTGCTGTTAAGTACTTTTTCTTTTAAAATGATTGAAATATCCTTAAAGCTGATAATACCAAAAATAAGCTTATTATTACAAGTTTTAAATGCTAAATTTATTCCTATACAAATTAATTTTTGTCTAGTTGTCGTAAAATTCTCAATGATTTGATAAAATTATTTTAATATATAAAAATTATTTATAAAATAACATATAATAATAATTTGACTAAAATAGCCACTTCACCAATGGCATATAATAATAACTTAACTAGTTTACCACTGGAAAACGAGTTCTCGTGATGTTTATTAAAAAAAGCGTGACGGGGAAGGGAGCACCACTGGAAAAGAAAGAAAGGAAAGGAAAAAGAGGGGAAAATAATGAATGAAAGAGTAACTAAAGGAGTAAAAGGAAAAGAGAGGAAAGTTATGGAAGAAGAGGAAGAAGAAAGCAGAGGCTGGAGACGCGAGAAAAGAGAAAGATAGCATGTTTTAGGTTTTTTACCGAGGGGTAATTTCGGGATTAAGAAAAATTATAAGGGATAAGAATGTAATATACTTGGTCAAAGCAATATGGCTTTTAAGCCAATTTAAAAAAAGTTGGGTTTACCCAACTTATTGGTTTTGGCTTTTTTTAAGCAGCTTTTAACTTTTCTTAAGCTCTTTTTGTGGTTGCCAAACACTTCCATAAGATAAAAAGTGCTTAAAAGCTGGTTTGACCAGCTTTTAAGCCCATCCAAACAGGCTAAAATTTTGTTCCAGAATTTATTCTGAGGTATGCGTCCTCTAAACATCAAAATAAAATAAAGGTGGATAAATGTTGTACTTAATTAATTTCCTCTAATTGGGTGCGCAACGGCCGGTTCACCCTTAATACTACCTCCATTTCATATTAAATGAGTTACTTTCATTTTTAGTCTATTCCAAAATAAATGACGCATTTCTAAATTTGAAAATAATTCAACTTTAAACTCCTCATTTTACCCATTTTGCCCTTAATGAAAACATTTTATAACCACACAAAAGTCATGGCCCCACAAAGCTTTACCCCTTAAGCTTTTAAGACCACAAATTTTAAAAGTCTTTCTTTTTTTCCTTAAACTCCGTGCCGAGTCAAACTACCTCATTTAATTTGAAATGGAGGGTGTAATATTTTTTAATTCACCAAAATCTTTTTTCCAAAATAACTTATTTAACTTTTTCTTCATATTCTATATTTGTTGTTCTTCCTTTTCTTTATGAATAAACTTTTTAATTTATAATCTTTTATAAAGTATTTAAGGGTATTTTAGTCATTTTAATAATAGAACGGCTTATCAGCACTTGTCATTAAGCTTTTTCAAAAACTTCAGCAGAAGATGCTGAAGTTATTTAGTTCATTTGTAAAAACTTCAGCACTATATAAGCTGAAGTTTTTGAAAAAGCTTTCTAACATACTAGATAAATAATCAGATTACCAACAGTATCTAAATCATAAATTTTGGAAACAATAAACGTGAAAAGAACAGAATTATCATTGTCTACTAACTTACGTACGTGGAAATATTCACAAATTATTGTCTACTAACTTACGTAATTATTTATAATTTATTTTTAAATAATCTGATAAACATATTTATGGCAATCATCCCATGAACTGAAGTTTTATAGCAGCACCAACAGCAGCAGAAGAAAGAAGAAGAAGAAAACGAAGGAGGAGAAGGAGGAGGAGAAAGGGGGCTGAAGTTGTTTAAAAAGTGAGTACAAGTTAAAAAAATTTAAAAAATGAGTATAGATTGGTCGCCCCGTGCAATTTTTACAACTTATACTCTCTCTAAGCCCATGATATTAGTGGGCACGAATATACATAGGGGGACACAAGTGGTAAATTAATTAGAGCAATACAGCTACGTATAACCTTTGTCCCATTCGTGATCCAAACATTTTGTTAACAATAGTGTTCTGGTTCGAAAGATGTTTAACGAAAAACGAAAAGAGATGAAGCAGAATGTTAAATCCGATTCCACAAATTTCTTGTGTCTCCTTAAGGAATTATAACCCTCCCACAGTTGCCAAGGATTATGGGTTACTTCCTCCTAGGATAGAACGGAAAAACATTTCTGTGATAGTGACAATACAAATCACAGAATTCCAACGAACTCAAGGATACGCTGCAAATCACACGACTTACTGTTTTGTTTTGATGAAAACGATGCAGTAATTTAGTTAGGAAGAAGGAGAGTTTTGAGAGTGATGTCTGAAAAAAACTGAGTACTGAAATGAGGCAAAGCCTTTGGAATTTATAGGCCAATAATTCTGCCTAAACAGATGCGAACAGACCTGTTCAGGAATGGAGTTAGGGCATGTCTATTAACAGACACGACTGTTGGAAAGAAGAACGTTGGGTTAACAGACACGGCTAAAAAATAATAATAATAATAGGAGGAAACTGTCAATTAATTAAAATTAATTAATTAAGATTAGGTCCAAAAATTAATCTTATCGATCGATCATTTGACCAAATCCAAATCCAAATCCAAGCCGAGCGACGACGACGGCGCGAGGGGTTTCCCTTCTTGTCAACCTTTTGAGAGGTAGAGAATGTGTTTCTCAATATAAACACATATTGGATGGTTTCCCCATCCAATGTGGGACAATCCACTTTGCAAGACTTAATGAATTTGAATTTTTTATTTCCCTCCAAAAATTATTTCCTCCATTTCCATTTCACTCCACTTAATTTAAGACAATTCATGTCTTAAAATTCCAACAATCCCCCACATGAATGGGGAATGGCCTAAAAGAAGAGGATATGCATAAAAACTATGTGATTTGCATAGGATTAGCTGCATTTGGATAAGTAGGTTTCCCTTTGAAATTTCCATAGTGAACTTATATCGGATATACTTGGTCAGTAGGTAGATTTGATATCTTTGAATCGTCGAGCTTTGGTGTATATCTAGACAACATAAGTCACACAATTAACCCTTAAACGTCTTTGGTTCTCATTGTTGTGTTCGTTTCAGTCATGAACACCTCCTGGTTTCATAAGTGTATAGAGAATTTGGCCTTGCTAACTTCTCCTTGAAGCGGCTTACACTTCACACTTACATAGGTGATTTCTAAGCTGTAACCCCGGAGATTAAATTTTTTGATAATTCCTGTATCAGAATTAGATAATCATTAAAAAGCTTTAACCGCTTTATCCTTGTTCCCTAACATTGTCCTTTCATGAGAATGGATCACAGAGTTTTATTTTGACAATGTTCCACTGTCTTTCATAACTTTGTTTGATCTCCTTGAACCTAAATCTCGGGATCTCCAGTCTTCTAGGTAGAGTTACCGTTATGATTGACTTTCCATCACAGACCCATTCCCTTTGTTGTGAACTCAACTGCCTCTCTAGTAAGGCCTTTTGTAAGCGGATCCGACACATTTTCCTTTGACTTTATGAAGTCAATTGAAATGATTCCTCTAGAGATCAGTTGTTTAACGGTTTTATGTCTTCATCTTATATGACGACTCTTACCGTTATACATAACATTCTTTGCCCTTCCTATAGTTGATTGACTATCGCAGTGAATGCAAATAGGTGTCAGCGGTTTGGGCCAAAACGGAATATCTTCCGAAAAATTCCGAAGCCATTCAGCTTCTTCACCGGCTTTGTCTAAAGCTATGAACTCAGCCTCCATCGTTGAGCGAGCTATACAAGTTTGTTTGGATGATTTCCAAGACATAACTCCTTCTCCAAGAGTGGAAATGTATCCACTTGTGGATTTTGAGTCATGTGAGCCGGTGATCCAATTTGCATCACAATATCCTTCAACTACCACTGGGTATTTGTTGAATTGCAACGCATAATCTTGAGTATATTCTAGATATTCCAAGACACGTTTCATTGCCATCAAATGAGTTTGATCTGGATTATGCGTGTACCGACTCAACTTACTGATAGCACATGCTATATCGGGCCGTGTGCAATTCATGATATACATTAAACATCCCAAAACCCGAGCATAATCTAGTTGAGACTAGCTCCCGCCTTTGTTCTTCTTTAATGGAAGATTCACATCAATAGGAGTTTTTGAACCTCTAAAATTTAAGTGCTTGAATCTTTCAAGAACTGATTTGATATAATGAGATTGTGATAGTGCAAGACCTTGAGGAGTTCTATGGATCTTTATTCCCAAGATTACATCAGCAACTCCTATGTCTTTCATATCAAATTTCCTGCTTAACATATGCTTTGTGGCATTAATGTTAGCAATGTCATTACTCATTATCAATATATCGTCTACATATAGACAAACAATGACTATATGAT